ACCACTACCACTACCACTACCACTACCACTACCACTACCACTACCACTACCACTACCACTACCTACTACTACCACCTACTACCTACCTACTACATAGTACTTAATACCTAGTACCTAGTACTACTACTACTACTAATATTACTACTACTACGACCACCACCACCACTACCACTACCACTACCAACCACTACCACTACCACTACTACTACTATTACTACTACGACGACGACTCCTACTACTACTACCTACTGCTACTGCTACTGATACTGTTACTGCTACTCCTACTACCACCACCACCACCACGACTACTACTACTACTACTACTACTACTAACAACCACCACCACCACCACCTACTACTACCACCTACTACTACCGCCTACTACTATCACTGCCACTACTACGACGACGACGACTACTACTACTACCTACGGATACTGCTACTGATACTGTTACTGCTACTCCTACTACTACCACTACTACTTCCACTACTACTAGCAACCACCACCACCACCACCACCTACTACTACTACTACTACTACTACGACTACTACTACCACCTACTACCACCACCTACTACTACCACCTGCTACCCACCTACTACCTACTACATAGTACTTAGTACCTAGGACCTAGTACTACTACTACTACTACCACTACCACTACCACTACCACTACCACACTGCTACTACTACTACTACTATTACGACTACCACTACTACTACTACTGCTACTACTACTACTACTACCACTACCACTACCACTACCACTACACCACACTGCTACTACTACTACTACTATTACTACCACCACCACCACCACCACTACTACCAACAACCACCACCACCACCACCAACTACTACTACCTGCCTACTACCTAGTACCTGGTACCTAGTGCTCTTACTACTACCACTACTACTACTACCACCACCACCACTACTACTACTACGGCTACTACTGCTACTGCTCCAGCTGTTGCCACCACCACTACCACTACTACTACTACCACTACTACTACTACTACTACTACTAATACTACTACTACTTCTTCTACTACCAACAGCAACAACCACTACCTACTACTACCACCTACTACCTACCTACTACCTAGTACCTGGTACCTAGTGCTACTACTACTACTATTACTGCCACTACTACTACTACTACTACTACCACCTAATTACCTTCCCACTACTACCACCACCACCACCACTACTACTGAGTCACTGATTTGGTCTTTTGGCCGTCATTGCACCATCTAATTGCAGCTTGTTGGCTCGAGACAGTGCTCGTGATCACTCTTGGTTGCCAAAATATTCGACACGACCAGCACTCAGACTTGCAATTCCTTTGGCGGCATCAGAAATGCACAGACTGATCTTGGCAAGCGCCGGCCCTTTGCCACCGCTGCTTAGCCCAGCTGCATCTATTCGTTGGGGTTCTTGTGAACTGCAAGCAATGTTTTATGTGCTTGCAGGGGCGACTTCGGAGGCTTCAAGGCCTTCGGCCTGAGAGTGTTGCTTGGCGGAGCACGCGTGAGGGCAGACTTGCCATACTTCACATACACTGACCAATGTGCCCACTCAGTGGGCAACCCTTTACCTTTTCGGACCAGTAACCTGAGGGAGTCGGCGTCGTGGAGGTGCAATCAATGTGTTGTTTTTTTACTTGTGGTGGGTCAAGGCAGGATTGCTCGTGGCCTTAAGGTGATGCTTGTTGATGATGAGAAGGAAAACTTGCAAAGTGCCAGCAGGTTTGCTTTGCGATACTGTGTCTCGGTTTGGCAGATTCAGATATGGTATGTCACGAGTTCAGTTTTGTTGGTTTTCATGTTGGCAATTGCAACGCAGTGATGCTGCCCTGAACCTACCAAACCAACACATATACGGGGTTCGAGACATATGTTATGGGGTCTTAATCTATTGGTGTTTCCTCCGTTACCTTTGTGTGCTCGTCGTGCTGGCCACAACTTGGCACTGCTTTGATTTCGTGCTGGCCACAACTTGGCACTGCTTTGATTTGCTATCAATATAAGTTTCCGCATGCGTGTCAGATTTTTTTGCAAACACTGAGTGTTCCGAATAAACCTGAAAGGCCCCGAGTTCATTCTAGTGAGCACCATCGAGCACATGTCGCATCTCTCAGATGGCCCATTACCTGTGCGGCATTGTTTCTGATGTACAGTTTCACCATGCTGAGGCAAAGTGGCACGTTATGATGACGTCTATCGATTCTTCGGCAACGAACATGTGAATTGATAAGTTTTGCTGAAATTGGGAGGAATGTTGTTTGACTCTGAGGTTGCAGTCTGTGATGCAAAATGCGTTTGGACAACAAATTTTTTGGGCCATATGCAACTGATCAACCGGAAACCAATCAACCTTTGGTGGACGTTTTGGAATCCGTCGAATCCTTGACGTCTATTCGTTTGACCGGATTAGAGTAGCCGCATGTAGCCGCAGCCTGTTACATCATGTTTTCAGCTCTGACTCCTCATTTCAATTATATACGATATAACTATGCTATTATCGTATGATATTCATTTTGTCCCACATAGCCTATTTGCACTCACCACTTCTAGCAATCACACTCAGGAAATTGCGGCCCCTTGAACCAGCTGGGTGGCATCGGAGCTCACAGCTGCTCGGTTTCGGAGCTCACGGGCTGCTCGATGTTCCGCGAAGGATCCGGCGGTCGTGGACCGAGGCTTCGAGGATTTCGAGCTCTTGCGGCGCTTCGCGGAGGCGCCCTGGGAGTTTCAAGAGCCTCACTTCCCACAGGAGGAAGCTGACAAACCGCCACTGGTTGAACTGAATGAGAGTGTGGGAAAAGAGGAAGTCTGGGAAGAGATGGGAAGGGTGGGATGTTTCAGTTTGCAGATCGTAGATGCGCCATGGGGACCGGACGGACGGGCATAAGACTTGTGTTTGCAATTTGGATTGGCATGACAAGCATCAGTTTGGTAGAGGAGGGTCGCCTTTTTGATGTGTTTCTTTTCAGTCCAATCCATCCCTTCATGCGAAAGGTACTGTAGGTGTTAATTCCAGTCGTTGGCACGGTCTTGTGATGATTTTTGAGGTGAAGCGGTTGGCGGAAGCCTTCGGCTGTTTTTGTTCTCCCGGTGACGGGCAGGTCAAACAGGGTTCAGCACTTGGAACATCTCAACATTGTCTCAACATGTCTCAACGTGAAAGAATGTCTCGAGTGCCGACTGACAGCAAGCCTGTGGAGATGAGTCAAGAAATGGTTAAACAATAAACGAGTTCCAGTTCATGTTTTCATTAGGGCCCAGCACAAACAACAAATGCCGTTTTATGGTAGGTGGAAGATGGAGGATTGTATGTTTATGGTGATTGTTTTGATAAGGCATATGCGGCATATGTTGGTTAAAAGTTAATCAGCCATATGACACGGACTGTGGACACTGTGGATCTGTGCGCACCCACTACTGAGGAATGCAGCACCTCGGATGCAAAGATCCGCCCCCATTGACGCCCTACGGTAGAGGAGACAAGTGCAGCCTCCAAGCATCAGCGCTGTAGCTACCAACGTTTGAGGCTTTTGAAGGTCGTTGTTCATTTTGTTCCTCTAATTTGATGTGTGAGGTTTGCCCGTGGTGATGCTTTGCTTTGCAGCCAAGGCTCCTCCTTGGGAAGACTCGCGAGTCCCAAGCCGCTCCGAGGACGGAGATGGTCTTCGCCACTTTTGCAAAGATGACCGGATTAGACACAGCTAGCCATCGACGTAGTTATATAATGTCGACACCGGATTTATAAACACCCCCCAAGGTTTGTTATTTGGGGGTCAAACATGTGCAATTCGACTCTTTTGGGGGGAGGAGTAAATCAGGAGAGATCACCAAGATATCAGGAAATCTCTTCAGATTTCAAGTCAACCAAATGAATCTGAACAGATTCAAGCTTGCTTTTCCCGGACCGCCGCCACTCTTCTTGGCTTTAGCGCGGCGTGCGCCAGAACTAGTCGCACCGCATTGGGTAGTGTGGTGTGGTCCTTTCAACCTCTAATTGCGGTACATTGAAACTCCACCGTCTGGACTTCAAGAACATCACAAGAAATAACAGTAGCAATTAAGAGAAAGGATTGTTTGGATTCAAGCATTAAATTGGCCATGTTCATGGCAAGATGGGCAAACCCTAATAAAGTAAAACGCTTTGGGGCTGAAGTGTTCGAGTTTGTCCGCCGCTTCAGTCTGTGTGCAAGCTTGACCCCCTGTAAGCCACACCATGTTTGCAGGCTAGCTTTTGCCAATTGCAAATAGACAAACAGCAAGCCCCGGCAAATTCTCAAAAGCACTGTCAGCCGGAAAAGATGCGACAGCAGCACTCGTAGTCTTGCTTCACAGGCTGCCGGTACAACTGCTAGTCACTCGGGCTTTGCCTTCCTGACTTTCTTTGCTGGCAGTTTGGTCTTTGGTTTGGATTTCACAGTGCGTTTTGGCTTTTGCACTCTGGAGGAAGCAGGCTTGCTGGTAGGAGTGTCCTGCTCGTCGCTTGTTGGCTCGGCGCCAGGCCCAAGCTTGTCCTTGCACTTGTTGTGGCCGCCGCTGCTGCTGCTGCTACCAATTCTGCGGCTTGCTGTTTCCCCCAAGACTTGAAAAGGGATTTTTGGAAAGATTTGTTGAATTGATATTCTTGGGATTTTGGAGATGTGTGTGGCTGGGTTTGTGAAGGATGGGACGAGGCAAGTGGCTGGGACCAAAGAGGCATTTGCCACGCAGACGGAAAATTTCAGAGTGCCTTGACATGCCTTCACCATGCCATGGGGATAATAATCAAGAATATTGTTGAGGTGGGGGTGTGCAGCAAGTGGAAAAAATGAGTGGACCGCTGCACATATCCGCCAATAATGAGTTTAACTGGATGGGCAATTCCAAAGGTTTGAGCCTACCATGAGGCAGCAAGAGATATTAGGAGTGCAGTGGTTTGAGTTTTGAGTTATTCGAGTTTGGTCAATGATTGGAGTTATGAGCCCTCTGGAAGGTCGGTCTGAGGTACTATGTGGGATGGGTCCAAAGGCAAGAAAGACAATTAGTATTGAAACAACAATTGCACCAAAAAACGGTGGACCAAACTAATTGGTGGGGCGGCGCAAACGTTGGGCCGGATTGGGCCAGAAGGTTGCCGGATTAGGCGTTGAATATTGGAGGCCCAGGGGCGGACCAAACTAACAAGGGGGTTATGTGGATCCCATGTCCCGACATTATATAGATTTAGATATTGGAAAGAAACCTGTGAAGCAAATCTATATAAACAACCATGTTGCAGCGGTGTTTGTGTGTGTTTGTGGGGGCGGGGGGAGTTCCTGGCAGGTAGACTGGTAATGTTTGAGCTGGAATTGGCACAGAGTTGACCCACTGGCGGAACAGAATCTTTGACGATTCCAAGGTACTTGCCCACAAAGCGCAAGCAAAGTAGAAAACACTGCCACCACAACAACAAGAAACATCACCCCTGACCTAACCTCTATCGCTACGATTAACGCAAAAGACAGCATCCTGGCATACTTCCTTTCCTTGCCCTTTTTTCCTCCAATTTTTGCAGTTGTTTTGCAGTTTTCCCTTTCCAAAACATGCAGCGCAGCTTGCGCCTTCAGCGCTTCGCAGGAGCTGGTGAAGCTGCCGCGTTCGCGCTTACGCAAGAGCGCATCCTCGCCCACGCTCCGCGCGCTGGGAGACCTCGCCAACCTGCCTGGGCCCATGTCCCGGAGCCGCCCGGCGAACGGAGTGAGGTGGGAAGGAAGGAGTGGGTTGCTGGATTGAAGAGTTCGGAGTGGGAGCACGGGGTTAGTAGATGCCGGTAAATGAGATGGAGTGAATAGAGGAGAGGGAGTTGGAACTGCAAAGATGTCGATGCATGCGGCATGCTGACTGAACGGCCAAGTCATGCCATTGCCATCATTCCATGTTTGATTGTCAAAGACCAATTCAACCAATTCTTCGGACGAGGATTTCAAGTCCAATCTTATCACGAACAATTTTCACTTGTTTGTTGCAATGATCGCTACTGCATTATGCAATTTGTTATAATCGCTTATTGACGAGGGTTCATGATGCTGTTTGAGGAGATGCCTCTCAAGGTGCCCAACAAATGTGATGATACCCACAAGCTGGTTAATTATATAGAGAATCCGAGCTTGTATTTTGTGTGGTCAGGTGGGCATTGGCGTCACTGTGCACCTTGCCCTTTGTGCAAAACTGGTTATATATATATATACGTATGTATATGTATATTTGCCCATGCTCTTTAGGTGGCAGTGCCATCAGGGCTTTAGGTTGATCTCTGTGGGACTTGGATCATTCACCATGGCCTCATCGACCAAATTCCATCAGTTTATAGCTCCATAGTATGCTATTTTCATGTTGACTTCAGCCTCCCAGTTGCAAGAAGCCCCCGGCGGGCAAAACGAGCGCCCGCAAAGCTTTCGGCCAAACCAAGGCCAAAGTTTCTGCTTGGACCCCAGCGAAGATAGCTTTTGGATGCTTTTGGCGTTTCGGATATGGGTCGCCTTCTCATGCAGTGCACACCCTCCTAAGTAGAGCAGTTGCTGCAGCGGTCCGCAGTGCTCTAAGATCGGGTCTCACGTGCTATGTTGGTGTGGATGCCCGAGGTTTGTCGGATGTGATATCTCAATCGCCGCGGACCTCCGAACCTGGGGACGACCAGGATGCCCACGAGATTTGCCTTACAGGTGCGCACCCTGATGCACCGGTTTCCCTCCACAAGGCCATTTAGCCTCCTCATGCGGAGGAGACTGCGCTTGACTTGGTCGCAGGTTTTAACATGGTATGAATATGTATGAATCGTATTGATTGGGCTTGTCCTATTACCTGTAACAGTCGGTCAACAAGAACATCACAATTTAAACCATCATCATCCACTGTCGCCTTGGCAATAGGATATGACCCAAAGTATTGAGTTACTGAGGTATCAGACTTTATCAAGATCTAAAGCTTCAGGACGAATGGAACATACAGTAGGCTCACCCACACACCAGCTACACGGACTGCCACAGGGTTATGTTTCCACGTTTTCGCCGCATAAGAAAAAATACACCGAGGGCTCCGGGCTTTGGCGTTTTTCATGTTCTTTTTCCTCCAAGGGACGCTACTAGGGTCTCCTGGCATCGCTACTAGGGGCTGGTGTTTTCTATGTTTTTCATATGTTTTTTCCTCCAAGGGTCCCAGCGTTTCTCCTCCGCCAGGCATGGATGATTCTCCGCGCTGATGGTCTGTGGAGGCGTCCGGCGTCCCGGTTTGGTCCACCGGTGCGACCGACGGAAATGGATTATGGCATATTATGGCTTGAAGATTGGGCACTACGAAAGTCCACGTGGTCCAAGTTACTAAGAGTCTAAGAGGTTGGGAAAGAGATTAAGGTGCAAGAAAGCCCGCCTTGGGAGTTGGACAGATGGAAAGTTGATCCACAGCCAATGAAAGAGGGAAAGAGATCACTCAAACTCCCAAGCAAGCATGAAAGTGGGATGTTTACACATTGGACCCTGCCACCCTTCTTCTCTTGGGGCTCCGTCAGCATGGTCAAGCATTTGAGTGCACCAATTGAAACAGTCCGATGAGAACCTTACGAAGTTTTCAGACCCAGGGCACTATGGAGCAGTCCCACTTATATACATGTATAATACATGTATCCAGAACTTCCCATCCTTTTGTTCATCTCTTGTCGAACGGTGTTGAAATATGTCCGTGTTTATGAACGATTTCATTGATGGGTTCAGTATGCCCATGTTCATATGCCCATTGATGGTGTGCCTGCATGTCTCGGAGCGAGGTCGTTCTTTCACGGAGTGCAGCGGGTGAGAAAGAAGCAGCGGAGTGCAGGGACTGGTGGCTGGTTGGATGCAAAGTTGGGGCCTGGAAGCCTGATTCTATGATGTTAATCGATGTGTCAAATTGACCACAGAGTCATGGAGCCACCGAAACGACAGAAACCCAATTGGAGTTGTGCCATGTATCATATGGCATTTGGCCAGCGAGCTTGATTTGGATGGAATTCCAAGCTGCATCGACCTCCACCCAGGTGGACATGCGACGGTGTGTCGCCAACGGCGGCGACGGTTTCGGATCAATGGCACCGGATGGGACGGATGGGCAGAGAAGGGGCCGAGGATGCAAGAAAGCATTCACTCATGATGGAGAAAAACATCAACTCTTCTGAGGGTAGGTGGGGTGGGCCAGGATGGTCAGGATGGTGTCACACTTTTAGGAATCTTTAGGAGAGCTAAATCACCACAAAAACATGTGCAAAGTCTAATTAAATGCCACACCTTGATCTTGGCTCAGTCTGCCAGCCCATCGACAAGAACTGAACCACATGCATTGAAATCAACGAAAGGTGCTCGACTTCTATGGGAATCAGACAACATTGATTAACGATGAATTTGTGAATATTTGTGAGCTAGAATCTAGGATGATCATGGATGATCTACATAGGTGTGTTTTGAATTTGGGCAAAATTCGGCAATCACCATGTCCAGAATGACCGAAACCCTGGGACGAAACTGCTCAATGCCGTCGGATCAGCAATTCACGAGAGTTCTGATGAACTGCACCGACGCTGCAGCCATGGATTTCTTAAAGTCTTGGTTTGGGCAGACTGAAGAGCCCACAGAATCTGAGCCTTGGAGTCCCTGCGGGCCCTGCGGGGAAGTGTCTCGGCTGGGTTATCAGGAGGGGGCAGATTCTGTTGTTGCTGTACTTTTCTTAGTTTGTGTCAAGGTGTCGTACTACCATTGTACGCTATACTGACTATACTGAAGTTGGTTGAGGAGTTCATTGGAGGTCCATGGTCACCTTTGGACAAAAAACTCTGTGCAGCATGTGAGGGTTGGGAGAGGGTGGATGGTGAAGAGTTGTGTCCGTATGCTTCTCCGTATGTGGTTGTCGATCTAAAGGTCCTAGTCAGCAGTGTGTATGACGATGACCCGGAACATATCAAAATCTCATTTGGCGAAAGTTTTTTCTCGAGTTGGCGAAAGTAATTTTTTTTTGGCGAAAGATCTGGCGAAAGATTAAATATGTACTTTTGTATGAATGTTCATTTGCTTTCTGAACAGCTGGTGGCAGTGACTCAGAAGCTAAATGAGCTGTGGAAGTTAGATAACCTGCTGCTGCTGCGGCTGCTACCACTACCACTACCACTACTACTACTACTACTACTACTACTACTACTTATTACTACCTACTACTTACTACCTACTACTTACTACCTACTACTTACTACCTACTACTTACTACCTACTACTTACTACCTACTACTACTACTACTACTACTACTACTACTACTACTACTACTACTACTACT